CCCCCCCCCCCCCTCATTCCACCCCTCCAGCTTCCACCACAGGCGGGGGGGGGCCGGGGGTGGCTGCCAGAGCTATTTGCAGCCCATCCAGCTGGGCAGGAGGCTGCCAAACCCAGATGGCAATTGTGGTTTCAGGCGAACCTAGGCCCCTGGGGTGACAAACAACGCTGCATTCTCAGGGCCAAGGGGCCCATGGGCGGAAGGGGGAGGGTGCAGGGGAAGGACCCAGCAGTGGCTCGGGCGCAGTGTCAAACACACAGCTGGGCTGGGGCTGTGATGCTCGGAGCTAGCGCCCAACCGGCCCTGTTTGGTGCCAGGGGAGGGAGCATTAGGAGCCAGGATCACTTGGCGCAGCCCCCAGGGTGCTCTAAGCTATACCGTGGGGCGTGTTCATTTCCAGGCCAGCCCAAGCGTAGCGGAGGAGGAAGCTGGTTTGTCACCCCTTGTCCCACCCTACATGCCCTGCTCACTGCAGATGAAGTGGGAGGCCTGTGTCGTCTGCTAACAGCTACTTAACTCAGAGGCCCAGCCAACAGCTTGGAGACTTGGCGCAGCCCCCAGGGTGCTCTAAGCTATACCGTGGGGCGTGTTCATTTCCAGGCCAGCCCAAGCGTAGCGGAGGAGGAAGCTGGTTTGTCACCCCTTGTCCCACCCTACATGCCCTGCTCACTGCAGATGAAGTGGGAGGCCTGTGTCGTCTGCTAACAGCTACTTAACTCAGAGGCCCAGCCAACAGCTTGGAGAAAAGCGCTCTTTGTGAAGAGGTGACGGCTTGCAAGTGCTTCATTGCTGCTAACCGAGCCCCCAGCCAGTGGGTTGCGCAGAAGACTAGCAGCCAGGAACACCCAGCAACTAGCTCTGGCACACATTACTGGGAGCAAATCTCACCCCTTTTCACAGATGCTTCCGCCGGGGGCAGAGCGCAGGTCGAGGGGCGGGGGGGGGGATAGAACAATGCTAACCAAGTGCTGCCAGTTGCTGCTGTTTCTTTTTTTTAAGTCACCACACACACAATATTTGGTGTTGCGCTTAAAGGGCCAGTGTCTGGTGTCACCAGTTTAAGCGCTGAATACAGCGCTGCCTAACCCAGACACCAAGCCCAAGCTGTTTCTCACCCGTAGGGCTCTGAAGAACAGTTTGACACGGTGACACGAAGGCTCGCTGAACCGCAAAGTTATTCCCTTTTAAGCCAGGCTCAGGATTTTTGTCACACAGCTGTGGGGTGTGTAGCATTCCCACAAGGAACTTAACACCTGGGCTGTACACCATGTCCCCGCCCCAAGTGTATGGGCAGTGTTACCTAGTGGCTAAAGCATCACGCTGGGATGCCAGCAAACTGGGGGGTGGGGGAAAAGGCTGCGATGAGCCCCTGCCTCAGTGTTCTCACCTGTAAAATGGGGTTGCTAATACTGATCTACTGTGTGACGCACTTTAAGTGCTACCGCTAAGCTGTAGGGCGAGTGTAGTGTTTTGTTTAGTTGTAGTTGTGCAGTTCTCCACAGGCATTTAAATCCCCACAGCCAGTGTTCCCTGTAAGCTGGGCACTTTAGCTGAGTGCCCACAATGCGGTTTTTGTTGTTGCTACTGGTGGTGCACATCCGCACATGCCTGGGTGGCACATAAAATTTATTCTGCACATGTATGGAAAAAATCCATACGTGGCTGGAAAAGATTAAAGGGCCCATGGTTCTCATCCCCCAAAGAGCTGCTGCTGATCTGCAGTCACAAATCGGCGCCGTGGCTAAGCCAGTGCTCTGGCAGGCCCCAAAGTGGGCACCTGCAACGAGCAGGGGAAAGCTAGCTCGCCAGTGGAGCCCAACCTTGTAGTTGTGCTCTGGCAGAGCCTACAGCGGGCAGCACAGCCTGGGCACACAAGCCGGCAGGGTGGCCACAGGCACATGCAGGGCAAGAGGGCACGAGCAGGAGAGCGGCTGAGTGCTGGGCTGTGGGCGACCTAAGCAGTTCCTCTGATTTAGGAGCCTAATTCTAGGTGCCTCTCACTAGCCACGCAGCTGCTGCCTTTAGCATTTCCTTCCTGACTTGCTCAGGCTGCTTTCCCGTCCGCGGCTGCCTTTCCTAGACACCTGCTGCCTGGGGAGCCCAGGTGCCAGCACAGGGCTGGGGTGTGTGCCAGGTGCCTTGCAGCTGCTCAGGCCTATAACGCAGGCGTGGAAGAGGGAGGATGGCGCCAGGGGAGAGGAGCGAGAGGGGGGGCAGTGTAGGG